AAAAATAATTTAATGAGTGGAGAGTTCTGTAATATCTCCCCTGTAGACCAACATTTTTTTTTCTTTTTGCTAAAAGTGAAAAGTTTGGGGTGGTGGACAGATTTCTTCTTACTGGGACATCAGTAGCAGAATCCTGATGATAGTCGTTAGCACAGCTGGTAAGTGTGGCCTGTAGCTAGGAACCCTCAAAAACCATTGAGCAATCATCTCCTAGCCATTAGTGCCAATGCCTTTAGTACTTATTGAAACAAAAGGCCGATTAAAAAGTTATGCTTTTGGTTAATAGACTTTTGTTTGTTTGTTTTGGTGCCTTTGAGTCAGTGTTGATTTCTGGTGACTGTCTGGACAGGTCCCTGCAGTTTTCTTGGCAAGATTTCGGAGGTGGTTTGCCATTGCCTGCTTCCTAGGGCTGAGAGAGAATGGCTGGCCCAAGGTTACCCTGCTGGCTTTGTGCCTAAGGGGGGACTAGAACCTGGGGCGGTGCATTCAGCCTTGAATCTTGCTGGATGCTGTGGACCAATTATACTCAACTAACTTATTTTAAAGGGTTGTTGTGAAGAGAATTGGGCAGAACTGGGAGAAAGTACAGGATATACATATAATAATGTTGTTTGACCTTTATCCTGTATTTTTTGCTGCATTTTCTTTTAGCAATTCAGCTAAACAAGAATTAAACCAAATCAGTGCAAGGTATCAGGACTGAAATGTCACTGTAACACCACAGTGCTACATTTAAGTGTTATAACTCTTCCAAAGTTATACTGATTTTACAAAACTAAAGTCTTAGAAATACTTTTTTGATTGCAGCAGATTTTATGGTGAATCTATCAGAATTCATCCCTCTACCAGATAATTCTGTTTAGGAGTTAAAGTGTTGGGCTTGGACCAGGGATACTCAAATTCAAGTCACTACTCAACTACAGAGCTCAATATGACTTTAAGCCAGGCATTCCCTCAGTTCTCACAGGGTTTTGTTAGGGAGATAAAACTACGGTAGATGTCCTCGTATAGATTATGAAATAAATAAGTATTAATTGAAGTATATGTTTGCAGTACAGTACATTTTCTTTAACATTTTCTTTAACA